TTATTCCCAGATTTGGACTTCCTAAGAGCTCACAGAGGGATATTGGGGCTTCTTTAAACCAACATTTACACAGAGTGTCTCTCAGGTATTCAGCATTCTCTATCCCCTCCACTGTGCAAGGAGGCCATAATAATCAGGAAAGATAGAAAACAATGAATGAGACCCAAAAGAGACATCTTTTCAAAATAGCTCAGGAGACTCACCAACAATGGCCTCACTTACTACCTTTAGCTCTTATCAAAATAAGAAATGCACCACAGATTTCTAGGATTCAGTCTATTTGAAATGCTTTCTTGACACTCTTTTCTCAATAACAATTATCTCTTCATTAGGGAAATAGATGCCTTACTGAAGGGTGTCACCTCACTGGACTCTTCAACAGCTAATGGGAGCTCAGCCTATAGAAAAGGGAAATCCCATATTCCACTCTGGAGACTTAATACTGGTAGTCTCTTCCCTCATCATCTCCTTCCCTAGGACCACCTTGGGAAGGACCATACACTGTGATCCTTTCAATTCCATCAGCTGTCAAGGTAGCAGGCATGGACTCCTGGATACACCACACCTGAATAAAGTCCTGAGAACCAGAGACTGTCACTGAGTGTGAGCAACCATCACCAGAATATTCCTGCAATCCCAGAGAAGACTTAAAGTTCTTGTTCAAGAGAAAACAAAGTCTTCAGATGAGTAATCTAAGATGTTACTCTTAACTCTTTTACTGATCACTTTACTACTTAAGAGTGAATGCAATTTCTTTCTAAGGTGGGCACAAGAATATGCAGTCATTACAACAAACATTTGCTGGATATGTGGCCTTCTCCCTTTGTTAAATACCTCAGGACTTCCCTGGTGGGTATCTTCGCTTCATCCTGATTTGAATAAACTACAAGACTAGATTGATGAGTTATGAAAGAGTTCAGTGGTTCATAGTTTAGTCCATCATTAAGCAGCTGAGTGGCCTATCAACTATAGTCTTAGTGATCCTGGACATAATATAATTTTTTTCTAACAACACCACTAAAGCCTCTCTAAAGGTTCTAGTAGGATGCTTAGTATGCAAGAATAAGGATTATAGCCTGAAGGCTAACAACCATACGATATCAAGATGGCTACTTTCAGATAGGGGATTGTCTCCATTACTTTTTTCTCATTGCTGGGAAAAAATCTCTGACATCTAAAATTAAGGAAGGAAAGGTTTATTTAGCTCACAGGTTTGTGGAGGTTGGGGTCCATAATCAGTTGGCTCCAAGACAGAGTGGCACATAGCAAAGGGCAGCAGTTCATGGTGGCAGAAAACAGAAAAGAGCAAAGTGAAGAGCAGCAGCAGCAGCAGAGAGAGAGAGGCAAGCTGCTCTCCCTTCCTTATATTGTATTCAGGCTATCCATCCCAGGGAGGATATAACAGTGTCTCAATTACTTTTCTCTCATTGCTGGGACAAATACCTGACACTCAAAATGAAGGAAGGAAAGATTTATTTAGCTCACAGTCCTAGAGGTTTCAGTCCATACTCAGCTGGCTCCAAGGCAGAGTGATACAGGGCAGAGAGCATCTTTTCAGGCAGTGCAAAGAGCAAGAACAAAATGAAAGAGCAACAGCAACAATGGCAATAGAGCCGGGGAGATGGCTCAGTAGGATAAGTGCTTGACCGGCAAATGCAACGATCTGAGTTCAATCCCTGGTTCTGCCAAAAAAACCCAGGAAGTCTGTCTCTCTGTCTGTCTTATGTTTTATTCAGGCTATCTTCCCAGGCTGGGGGAGGGACTCACACCCATAATCCCAGCAGTACTCAGACCCATAATCCCAGACTTGGATCACCCATAATCCCAGAGGATCATGAGCTAATCTCAAACTGTAGAAGTCCCTGCCCCCTGATTGCATGGGGCTGTGGGGGGACAACTAGACACAAAACATAACAAGCAGTTACACCCATAATCCTAGCATTGGATCATAAATTAATCACAAACCTTAGAAGCTTCCCTAATGACTGCATGAGGCTTTGGGAGGACAACTAAATCATAACAGTGATGATTATCTATGGCTAACCCCCAGTATAGGGCATCTTAGTAGAAAGACCCCTTATGTTGGGAACAGAAGAATCGGTCCTGTTCCCATTGGCCTAACTTTACTAAATACTTAGAATGGACACCTTCCCCTGACAATGTATATACACAATAACTTTACAGGATGAATACTGGTTTGCAACAAACTTGTTTACTCACTCTAGAATTATATGAACAGCCCCCATGGCACTTCCTGGTCCTGTAGAGCCAATTTGTGGCCCTGGATACTCTCTGGGTAGATAGGAAGATGCATGCTGGGATTCACATAGTTATAAGGCAGACATGTCAAAAGTATTGACAAACTTGCAAATTTTCCCTGACTATGGTACTGATGATCTGGAAGTATGTCTCACTGGCTTTTATCTTTATCCCTTCTCTAGGGTTAGAATTGTCACGTACTCAGTGGGCCTTAAAAGACACTGCAGGGGGCCAGAGAGATGGCTCAGTGGAATAAGCGCTTCCCTGGCAAGCGCAAGGGCCTGAGTTCAATCCCCAGGTCCAAAAAAAAAAAAAAAAAAAAAAAAAAGACACTGCAACTGGACTCTCTCTTCTAAATGAAGAAGTAAAATTAATGAAGCAAGCCATACTCCAAAATTGGATGGGATTAGACATTCTAGCAGGAGCATGAAGGGGTACTTGTGTAATTATAAAAGCTTAACATTTGTGTATATTCCTGATCCTTCTGTTAATATTTCAGTAGCTGATTAAGATACTTGATGACAGGTTAATGACATATCAGATTCTGAAACTCCCTGGACACTCTCTTTATCCTCTTTATGGAAAAATATCACTGCCTCCTCCTGGTAGAGAACTGTGTTGGCCATATTCATAATTATCCTGTTGATTTCATTATTTGGCCCATGAAAACTTAACTGTTTCTGCCTTGCCTCATCCAGACATAAAGCTGTATGTTTACCCAAGACAAGAATACCTAATGTCTATCGAGGGCCTTTAGACAGAGCGTCTGTGGAGTATCTTTGACTGTGGATCACAACTGTGACCATGTTCAGCTGAAAGTAGCCAGATTAGACTTTGAGCTTTGCCCCTTCACGGCAGTTAGGGGGATGTTTTATTGAACAAAGCCCTTTCTTGGGGGAGATATATTATAGATAACTAAGGCAGAAATATTGTAGGAAGTCAGAGAGGGCTGGGCCTGCAAGAGGTCAATGCAGAAGACAATGCGGCTAGAGGCATATTCACTGAAGGCCAGGCTTTAGGAAAAAGAACTACTCATCTATATACTTCCCTTAAAGATTACTATGAATCCAAGCTGCATAGTGAGACCCTGTACCAAATACATAAAAAATAAAATAATAATAAAAAAGTTCTATGATACAGTTTTAATCCATTGTTTTACCCAAAACTCTGGGAAAGCTTAACTTCTTAACAATCACAGCAGTGATTGATATTCTGAGTAGGCATCAGTCACCCTGGGTTGGAGGAAAAAACTCCTAACCCCTACCCCTTCCAGGAAAGTCCTTGTCCATCCATCCCATGTGCACTTTTACATGACTTGTTTCCCCATTTGATCTTCATTTAATCAAGATTACCCTACCAACTATACTTGTTATGTACTTATTGACTGGCCATAGTTTTGTCTCACTTCACACTCATCCTATGATTTGCTTAAGTGGCTATACTTGTAATCTCACTGACTGGTCATACTTCTGTCCCACCGTAAGTCTGCCTCAACTCATGACTTTGCTCAATAAAACGCTCTTAAGAAGCGGAGTTGGTGGGCAACCTACTTTCCAGACCCCCTTCTGTCCCTCAGAGACAGAAGCTTTCTTTTTCTCAATAAATTCTTCCTATTCTTTAAAAAAGAAGTTAAGCTTTCTCAGGGTTTTGGGTAAAACAATGGATTAAAACTGTATCATAGAACTTTTTTTTTATTTTTTATGTCTTTGGTACAGGGTCTCACTATGCAGCTTGGACTCATAGGAATCCTCCTGTTTTCAACCTCCTCAGTGCTGGGATTACATGCATGAACCATGATGCTGGGTCTCAGTCTCCCACTCAGCATGCCCAGGGGTGGGACCAGGGTGGTATGTGGTACTGGGGATCAAACCCCTGTCCCTGCACTTGCCTAAACAGGTGCTTACTCACTGAGCTATCTCACCAGCCCTATCATAGAACTTCTAATCCCCAATATCTCATCAAATGGCAATAAAGATTTCCTCAAAAGAACAATTACAAACAAGAACCAAAGTATGAAAGGGTAAAACTGAAGGCAACCAGCATCAAATACTTAAATACAAGATTCTCAAACAGAGGTAAGAAATACGTCATGGTGTGGGCCCTACACTTTTACCTTCTTTGCTTTCTTCAGACAAAAATCAATTTCTACATGTCTACCTTTAGGGAATATTTGCTCTTCCTTAATGATATGACAGAAGTAACAATTTCTTGCTTAGGAAATACTGAAGAGCCTTAACCCATATTCTTACAAATACTAGCAGCATTTGCTGGTTCTAAGGCAACAACGGTGTGAAGGCGCCAAAAGCCAGGCAAAGCTGGGCCAAAGGTGGGGGATGAAAAGAGCCAGAGGCACAGAGGGTACCATGGGTGATCCAGAACACGCCCTTGCTTCTTCTACCACAGTAATATGATTTGTAGAGGAAAATTCCACTTGTAAATTTCCAGTAGAGATGAGACGTTCATAGATCTTCCCTGAGGGAAGTCAGGAAACTGGGTATGTCCTAGGGTTACTGGCAAAAAAACTGTTTCCTGGATGGCAGGGAAGGTGAGGACAAATATTTTTCTTTGGAGAACTCAACTCAGGGAGCTAAGGCATAAGTTCACAGGTTTATTCAGATGCTTTGGCACTGATTAATTTTTTCTGATTGACTGATTAGAGGTCAGATAAATTTCTCCAACAGTTGTGGGATGGGTCCAGGACCCAGATCATTCATTTTCTTGTCCCATAGATATGAGATTACCTGTAAATTATCCAGGATGATTCGGAGGGAGGACACCTGTCGTCGAACAGCACTTGAAAACCTTTCATAAGTGGCAGCATCATATTCACTCATCTGAATCTCCTTTAGCCTGAAACCAGAGGGGAGAAAGACAGCGCCTTACATCCTGTCCCTGTGAGTCTTTTACTTTTATTCATCTGCTTAGAGATCTGCGGTGAACTCCTTGGCAACTCAAAATGACTATGGAGGAGAAAAGACAAGATGCGTGGTCTCCAGAAATGCTTCCAAATGCAAAAGAGGTTAATGTTGTGTGCTGGTAAGTGATGAGCAATCTGTTCTCCATGACAAGAAGTGGGTGTGCAGAAGCCCTGATTTGTGGTTTATTTTGTTTATTTCTATTGTATAAATATTTCCATTGTGATCAATTTCAAGCTAACAACAATGAGGTCATTGAAGTGCAAATTAGAGAGAAATGTGCAGAACTGGCTTTCATGAGCCAGTATGAATCACTCTATAGTGTTGCGTTGCTGTATCTTGAAGACATGTGATGTCAGCAGCTCCTAAATTCATGTGGCAGGTTCCTAGGAGAATTCCTGGGTAGTTTCTTTAACACTGAGGTCACTGGCTGATGAAGATGACCATTTAGGCTCCCAAAAAGTGAGTGAATGTGTTGTTATGTATAAAATGCAATCAAAAAACACGGTTAATGCTTAAATTTAAAACACTTATTACAGTAAAAGATGCATTGCTACTAATTCCCCTCAACATACTCCACTTTGAAAACACATCGCATTGTTCTTACCATTTTCAAAAGTAGTTCTGAAGTAGTTCTGAAAGTATTTTATTGTGCCTTTAGTTGTATTATAGCTGTCTTGATATCCTGAATTCATTAAAAATGTTTTCCTTTCATGGTCATTTTGACTTTGGGGAAGAGCCAGTAGTCACACAGTGACTAGAGCTGGTGAATGAGACCCATGGTAATGTCTCTCTCCTTTGGAATACACCTTGCAGCGTACTGTGTTTTTTATCACACTGTGTAAAAACACTCATAAAAGAAGAGATCAGAAAACAACAAGAAGGGCCAAGGATAGTGGCACATGCATGTAATCCTGTGTTTGCGAGCTGAAGCATGAGTATCATCGTAAGTTCAAGGCCAGCCAAAACTACATAGTGAGACCCTATCAAAGAAAAAGAATGACAAGTGTGTTTGAAACGAAGGGAATTAGGGGTAACATGCTTTTGATTGTAATAATTTTTTAAATGCCCCATTCACATGCCTTGTGCCCATATCTCGATGCTCCGGAAGGTGATTTCCACTGAGAGTGTTCCGTTCCTGCCTCTTTGCCTACTAACCCCCAATCACCCATGAAAACTCCAGTCAACTCTCACTTTTCTAAGAAGGCTTCTTTGAACTAGGGCTATCCTCTGTGCTCTCATGTCTTCCTTTTTCATTCTGTCAGACCATTTCTTGCCCAAGCTATGATAGCTTGCCTCCTCTCTCTCTCCACTTTGGTTCTGTATTCCTTTAGATAAAGGCTGGGCTCTTCATCTTCACATATACAGTGCCTTACAGGGAACCTAGTAAGACTCAAGAAGGTTCTTTCAATGAGTGACCTCTCTTGAGTTTTACAGTGCTGTCGCTACAGTACACTAACCAGTTCACACATTTCTACACATGTCTATAAAGGTAAAAGGGGCTGATACTAGGTCAGGGAATAATGAAAGCATCTCCTCAAAGCCTAATCATAACACAATCTTCTAAACTCCTGTGTGTATGTATGCGTGGATGTGCACACAGGTATGTAATACTGGAGGGATGGATCTCAAGTGTGTAGCTGAACTCTTATCTGAAGTGCTATATATTTATCACTTTAGGTTGGAAGAGAAATCTCAAATGCTGAAGGAGCACAGGCAGTTTCTATCCTTCCCCATCAGGCTCCACACTGGATGGGAAGAATCTACTCAGAGTGCTGGAAACTTACAGATACCATGTTAGGTGATGGGGCAGACTGGCAATTCCTGCCCAACCAACCTGTGCTGTTTCAGCTCAGGTTTCAAGACCCACTTCAAAGGCTATATCCCATGAAATCTTTCTTGATATTGAGGGTAAATGTATCATTCCTTTTTCATGTACATTTTGCAGTTATTCATCATTTTATCTGTGTTTTATTGGTTTAACAGATCCATTTCCAATCACAGTGCTTTTCAAACTTTTTCCCCACAGAAATATGTTTTACAGTGAGATCCAGTACACACAAATGCATGTGTGTATATAATTCAATTTAATGAAAAATATTTATTATGTTTGATTATGTTTAATATGTTTCTGTTTTCTATTCATTAAAAGCAAAAATAACATTTTTCTTTGAAGCTCCAGTTCCTAGCACAATGCCTGGCACACAGTGGCACTTAATAAATGTCACTGGGTAACACTTTGAAAACACTATGTAAAGGTAAATACTGACAAGGCCACTATAATATTTTAATAGTTATTTCCTGAGGTGATATGACAAGGTACTCTTCCAAATCCCTCTTTTGGAAGGTGCCCTTCCAAATTAACTCTCTTTCGTAGAACAAAAAAACAATATGCATAAAGGACTTGACCTCTTAAAAATGTTTCTTCTGTTTAGTCTTGGCAAGCTCTGCCAGCTCTCTATAGATTTTCATTAGATCTAGCGAACAGAAGCTGGGCACAAAGAGTATGGCAAGTATCTTAGTTACTTTTCTCTCTTTGCTGAAACAAAATAGCCAGTTCCTCAAGTTAAAGGGGCAGGTGTATTTAGCTCACATTTGGTAGAGATTTCAGCCAGAGTCGTGTGGCAGATGGGCATCAAAGAAGAGATGGGAGGAGGAAGATAACAAAAGCAAGCAAGCCATGACCATAATTCTTTCTATTTCTTATACCTCATCCAGGCTCCTTAGGGCCGGTAGCAATCAAGCCCTTAATCCTAGGGCTCTTGATCTCAGCCCTGTACCATGAATCACACTCTGGATCCAGCCACCTCTGAAAAAAACCTCACCAAAGGAATATACTCACACATGCATATATACACACATAAACACATGAATATATACATATATAATATATATGAAGTATGATTAATATAGTAAATGTTTACATTTTAAAAAATTATTATAGTAAAATATACATTACCATTAATAAATACCCCCCTCACATTAAATATGCTTATCCTATCATTCTTGTGACTTTCTTTTTCTTTTCTTTTTTTTTCACTTATATATTTGGTACAGTGTCTCACTACACAGGCCGGACTCATAGTGATCCTCCTGTTTTCAGCTTTCCTAGTGCTGGGATTACAGGCATGTGTCACCACGGCAGGACCCATTCACTGGCTCAACACACCTGGGGGAGGGGCCAGCGCAGCACGTGGGACTGGGGATTAAATCCTAGTCCCTGTGCTTGCCAAAGCAGGTGTTTAGTCTGCTGAGCTATCTTGCTGGCCCCTCTTGTGACTTTCTGAGGCAGTTCTGGAAGTCTTTTTCATGAGCGTCTCTAGTTGTACTCTCATGGCTGCCTTGATATCTTGAATTTATTTAAGGTGTTTATTTTTCAGGATCATTTTGACTTTGATGAAAAGCAAGAGCTGGTGAATAAGAGAAACCAGAACACACCGTTATATTTTTATCAACATTGGATGGCATTTAGCATCATTCTCTGTATTTTTTAATCCCATCCCATAAGGATGGTAACAAAAGATAACCTCTAAAGCTACTTCATAAAGGGGCAAAAATGATGGGATAAATGTATTTAAAACAAGGAAGAATATTTTGGAGGGTACTAATGGCAATGTGTCTTTGACCGTAATGAATTTTAAAAATTTAAACATTCACCATATAATTCTTTTTTTTTAAGAGGAAAAAAAATGGTACAAATGGGGCTGGGGAGGTCTAAGTGCCTGCCTGGCACTCAGTGGTCTAAGGGCCTGCCTGGCAAGTGCAAGGACCCGGATTCGATCCCTAGCACCACATGCCATGCTGGCCCCAAAACAAGGTATGGTGGCGCACAGCCATAATCCCAGCACTGGGGAGGCTGAGATAGGAGGATCACTATGCATAGCAAGACCCTATACCAAATAAATAAATAAATAAATAAATAAATATTTAAAAAATGGTACAGAATTTCAAAAACCACCATATAATTTGATCACACCTCTCACACACATTCATATATGCACACACATATATACAAATACACATGTACACGCACATACATGCATCTATACATATGTATATGGACACACATCCGCATATAGACATACGCATATGCACACACACATGCTGTATACAGTCGTAGATGCCCAGCAGCTGATAAGTCACTGCGAGCAGCAAGGTCTCTGTCATGAGATCAGAGCTTGCTCTACTTATACAGCTACTTCTGGCGAGATCATGCTGTAAAGCACATCACATGCTGTTTTAATTACACAGAAGTCTGGACATCATATTCCAGATTGTGTCAGCTTTCAGAGCGATCACCTACATGAGTTCAGTGTGGGTAGCAAATTCTGGAAGTTGAAGATTGAAGCAGGGAATGGAGAAATTTTAGCCTCTGGATTTGACAAGTTTCCCATTGTTAATATTCTCAAACCCACAGAGTTAGCTAAAAATACTTTCTGCTGTTTTTTTTTTTTTTTTAACCTCTGATCAAAACTGTAAGAGCCCAGCTGCTTTACATCCTAGTAATCTATGTGGATGAACTGTACTTTGTTGGCACAGTATATTTTTAAAGGGTATATTTATTGTTATGTAAGAGTCTGGGAATTTTAGTTCTCATTTTACTTTTTCTTATAGGTTAGACTTAAATACTATAATTCTGAATCTGTTATGAGGAAAACATACATAAGCTGATTTTTATTGTGTAAGGCTGATTAGTTTTGCATATGGCAGCAGATATAGTTTCCGTAGATGTCTGCTCTAAATGCTTTTCTAAGTGTATATAAGAACCTCACTATTTCATTCACTTTTTGTTGGTATCATGTTTCTGTGACATGATATGTACGTCTGATGCTTATTTCCCTCTGTTAATCTGCCTGAATTGATCAGCTCTTGCTATATAGCAACAAATATCTGTCTAAAAACCAGACATGGGTGGATGCCAACTATACGCTCTGCTGATGAGGCGAGGAACTCCTTAGTACCACCAGGTTCTTCCAGGTAGCAGAGCACGTGTTGTGCCTTATGGGTTGGTACCAGTCAATGGAATATGAAAGGCTGACATCATCAGTCCACATATCCATGGATCTCACATCTTCAGATTCAACCAATTCAGATCAGAGTATTTGAAAATAAAATTAGATCTTTATTGAACATGTATAGATCATTTTCCTGTCAGCATTCACTAAACAATGCAGTACATCAACTAGTTACCCAGCATTCACATTCCGTTAGGTATTAGAAGTAATTCTGAGATAAGGGGGTACCTGGAAGGACTGGGTGTGTAACTAAGTTGTACAGCACTTGCCTGGCATGCACGAGGCCCTAGGTTTGACCTCCAACACCAAAATAAACAAACACAAACCAAACAAAAACCAAAACCCAAACCAAAAAAAGAAAAGAGTACAAGGGAGGAGGATGAGTACAGGTTACATGTAAATACGGAGCCATTTTATATAAAGGATTTGACTATCTGCAAATTTTAGTCCCCTTGGGGGAGGGCTTCCAATTTTCCATGGATATGTAGGGACAGCCACTAAAAGGTGACACCATTACTTGTACACAAAGGGATAACTAGTCAAGGGTGCCAGCATTATCTGTATATTTGTGTATATTATTTACTCCTTAAATGTATTGAGCATTTAGCAGGTACCAGATTCTTTCCTAACAGAATTTATAGTCAGTAGAGAAACAATCAACTATTGAAGCAGATAATAAGGTGAAAATAGTTAAAGAGAAAAGGTACAGGGTGCTACAAAAGTGGGAATTCCAGGACTTGACCTCATCCTCCTATGCTGAGGCTGGGAGAATGTAGCTTTAAAATTAATTCTTTGAAGGTAATAACAACTACTACCTTTTAAAGGCATGCTAACTGTATTATGCTTATTTTTTTTTGGTTGTTATACTGTAGAGACATACACCCTGAAATATTTAAGATGAAATAATAGTATATGTTGTACTAGGTTCAAAACAATCTAGAGTGGACACCAGAAGTTAGATTTTTCTCCTAGAGTCTTAGGGAATCAGGTCTACAGGTTTCTGTTTTGTTCTTAATGTATTTAGTACAGGGTCTACAGGGTCTCACTACACAGATCAGACTCATAGTGATTCTCCTAATTTCAGCCTCCCAAGCACACACTACCATGCCCAGTCTCAGTGGTTGTCTCAATGCACCCCGGGGGCAGGGCCAGTATGGCATGCTGGGGATCGAACCCCAGCCACTGTGCTCTGCCTAAGCAAGTGCTTTAATCAGCTGAGCTATCTGGCTGGCCCTTATAGGATTCATTAAATTTTTCATATTTTTATTTTATAGAAGGTCTATAATAAAAAGTTAGAGAAAAATTCCATTCAGCAACACTAAATGGAATATTCATCAAATGGGATGAAAGTCTAGTTTCTACATGAAAGTAGAAAGCAACAGTTTTTCTTGGTGTTTCACTGTGTCACTGTCTTTCTTGGGATTTCTGTGTGTTTTTATTTCTTTTTTCATTCTCTTGCCAATTTCCTCTGTCTTTCAACCATGTTATTACATTTTCTTTGGCTGAGTTTTTTCTGCATTGTTTAATAGAAGAGTTTAGCTTTCTTATTTTATTTATTTATTTTTACATCCTCTCTTACATCATTTGATTCTAAACTCATTTTTCTTGTTATCATTGGTCAGTGGGGTTCTTAACAGAAACATGCTCTTTCTCCCTAGTGGCAACAGAGAAGGGGTTGCAGTTTGTACCCAGCAAAGCCTTTCTGCCCATCTGTGAGTGACTTCTGTGCCAGGGCACTTCATCGCTGGTCCACTTAGGAACACGCTCAGAAGGGTAGAAACTCGAGAAGGCCTAGGCATGGCAACCCTAAGAAATAAGCAGTTGGGAGGAGAGGATGCTGATGCTGTATATTTAGTTGTTTGGTTCTTTTCCTACATTATTATTTATATGATGTATCCACAAATAATTTAATTCTAACAAGATTTTTCAGTGCTCTCACCTTTTTTTTTCCCCCTTAGAAATTGCAACTATTCATTCCTAAAATAGTTATCTGTTCTCATCACCTTCCTGAGAGGAAAGGAGAAGGAAGTCTTCCATCTCTAGAAGAACATATTTGGGCACAGCAAGGAGAAATAAATAAAGGTCACCAGGAAGGCAGCAGAAGGGCTGAGGGCAACACGTTTGCCACGGACACTGAGTGTGTTATTTACCTGTTTGTCTGTGAGGGTCCTGAGGGCTGTAGGCCTTCCTGAGGTTGTGGAAAGCAGGGGCTGTATATTTGTCTCCATTGTTCTATCTTGTTTACTTGCAGGATGTGAAAGCACAGCGTGTAACGCAATACCAGATGTTCCACGTGGGAGAATTTCATAACTCAGTACTTGAGTGTGCTTCTTTTCTAACTGCACCCAGCTCCTTTCATGGAGCACAAAAATGCAAGTCTGCCTTGCAAGCCATTGCTAAGTCTCTCAGTCTGAAAGGAGATACTGCTGGTTCTTTGGTATTTTTCACTTTTAGATGAAGAACACATGGAGACATCTCGTAAAAGCATCCTGTGGATTCTTCTCATTTTTAAGATGGGGCCAAAGTGACCCAGAACAGCTGTGGGAACATCTGAGGACCACAGGCACATTGGCCTGATTTCAGGGGTTTCCCCTCCCACCAATGGCTCCTCTATCCAGATGGTTCCCTTTACCCTCTCTCTGCCACTGTCATACTTATTCTGCCCTGATGTCTCCTGCCCATTCACTTCTTTTCCTAGCATGACTTAGCTCTTCTCATTTCCAAACCATGGCTGGGCCTTGACCCTTCCCTGTGCTGCTAGAGGGCACACAGCCTCTGGAACTCTAGCACTCAACAGTATGCGCATGTGTCTGTGTGTGAATGTGTGTGTTTGTGTACATATGCACTAGGCACCAGGTGTCCAAGACGCAAAGGGAACACCCACTGTTGTACCCTGTCAAAAATGACTCCATTTTGTTGCCCTTCTAACCTCGCCAAGTTCCTGTTTTGTATGAGCCTACCCCTCCCAACTCCTCACCCCTGTGACCCAAGTCTTATGATATCTGTACCCCAAACTTTATCTCAATGAACTATATATGACTGCCAACTCAGCACCTCCACCAAACAGGACCACCCCCATGAACTAATGACCCGCTGTACCCCATGATTGCTTATTCCAGCACCCCACCCAATAGGACCACCTAACGAACTAATGACCCTGCCACTTCTTCCTCTCCACCCCTTCCCTTTTTTTGCAGTTTTCAAGCTTAAATACTGCACCTTGTTAATGCTCAGCGCGCCTCTTTGCACCTTGCATAGAGACCGCCGCTGGGTACCAGCTAAAATAAAGTGCTTCTTTTAACTTTTGGCTTGCCTCATTGTCATCTGATTTTTGAGCTACAGCACCCACCTTTGTTGAAACGCTTTTTGGCCCATCTCTCTCGCAGCCTTCTTGACTTCCTCGGGAACTGCATCCTTCTCAGCATCAGAGACCTGGTACACTGTGTGGCCTGCATCCAGCCGGTAAGGGCCGCCTTTGCCCCCGAGCCCTGCAGTGTCTCTTCCCCCTGAAAGGGAAATATGAGACTGAGCCTGGCCACAAAGCAATGTCACATGATGGCTTTAAAACTGTCCTTTGACGTATATTAATTTTACTTAACTAGTAGTTAAAAATTCTGATTATTAGGCCAGCCATGGTGGAGCACTTCTATAATCCCAGCACTTGGGAGGCTGAGACACAAGGACCTCTGTGAGCTCCAGGCCAGCCTGGGCTACACAGTAAGTTCAAGGCCAGCTTGAACTATATTGGGAAACCTTGTCTCAAAAAACACCCATAGCAAACAGCAACACAAATTCAAATTATCTTTATGAATACAAAGGTGTTCTACTTAAGATGATTTTCTCTTTTTTCCCATCCAAATCCTGCCTGTATTTCTAGGTTCAGTCCAAATTCTGTCACCTTAACTAATGTCTCTTCCTCATAGAGATCAACACTCCTGTGTACTGTTTGTTATCCAAAATATATGTCTTTCTTTTCCCGTCAAATAAATGACAGATAAGATCATATATGAGAAATGTTTGTACCTCTGCCCCATATGAATTTTTTTTTTTTTTTTTGGGAAGGGTCTACAGGGTTTTCAGGGTCTCACTACTAGATTGGACTCGTAGTGATCTGCCTGTTTACAGCCTTCCAAGAGCTAGGATTATAGGATTATAGGCGCATGCCACCACACTCAGTCTCAATTGCCCTTTCAGCACACCCCAGGGGCAGGGCTGGCACGGCAGGCCTGGGGACCGAAACCTAGGCCCCTGTGCCTGCTTGCAGGCACTTTAATCTGCTGAGCTATTTGGCTGGCCTGAATGGTTTGAATGTAATACTTATTATATATTTGCTAAATAAACAATTCTCTTATACCACATATGCTATCTTATTTTCCCTTAAGATACCAAGACAGTTAAGCTATAAACTTCTTTCATTTTGTAAAATCTACAACTGATTTACAGAGAGGTTAAGCAATCTATTCATGACCTTGCCACTGGCTTACCCAAGGTTTGAGGCCAATTATTATACCAGCTTTGACTTTTAGCTTTGAATGCTTTATACCAGCTTTAGATCAATCTTTCAATTAAAAGCCTGTTCACATAGTTATAAGTATATGTCATGTAAATCACAAAGAGCATTTATGTTAAAAACAAATGTTAATGCCAATAAAACCAGGTTGGTAGTACTATAAGAAATGTTGGGAACGTTGGATAAGTAGAGAGAATCTGCTTTGTCTCAGTACATTCAAATTGAAATGATTTTGAAATTCTACACTAATATACATCTATTGGCTAATTTGGCCTTTGGGTTACTACAATGATTAGAATAGCAGTAACTATTTGTATTTGTTCACTTACACATAACTGGGAACTTTGAAAGAGAATCCAATATTAGAGGGGCCATATGGCATTGTATAGCGTAGTATAGTTTAGCACAGTACAGTACCATATAGCACACTAGGTAGGCCAGATGACCTGAGTTTGAGTCCTGGCTCTAACTCACTGGCTGTGTCTTTGGGAAAATTACTTAAATCCCTTGTATCTCATTCTTGTCTTGTCTATAAAAAATACATATATATGTATACACACTAAATGCTAAGAATTGTTAAGAAATTAATAGCATTGTCAAGAAACTAAAATGTTTAATAAAGTATCTGGCATATAATGAGAGGTATATAACTGCTCTTACAGATACTTTTTTTGAAATTTTAAAAGAATTTTTTGTTTTATTAACAAAGCATGAGTTTATTTAAATCAACAAATTTTTTTTTCTTGTATTTTTAGGGAGGGGTCTCACTACTAGATCAGATTCCTAGTGATCTGCCTGTTTACAGCCTCCCAAGAGAGGGGAATACAGGGGTCATCACCACGCCCAGTCTCAATTGCCCTCTCAGTGTGCCCTGGGGGCGGGGCTGGCATGGCAGGCCTGGGGATCAACCGCTGAGCAACATGGCTGGCCCTAACAAACATTTGTAAATAGGAGGACAACTATCTTCATGAAGCAGAGCATTTTTCTAGAATTTGTTTTGAAGAAATGAGCTGAATGTAACAAAACCTAGGATTGATGGCTCATCTCATGGTGATCTCATACTCAGTTTGGGTTTTTTTTGTTTGATTTAATTTAATTTTGCAGAGTGAAAACAAAAATACCACAAACAAAAACAGAAACAGTGTAACATACAATAGATATATTACAAATTTTCAAAACAAGAATGGCAAATTAATAATGGTGGTTATATTACCTATATTTATCATCAAATCTGTTGCTCAGATTAACAGATACAGTTATGCAAGATTGTACAAACAACTGAATATTAATGCTTGCTTTTAATAAGCCATAATTTTTCTTGTCTTTTTTACTTTTTAAAATTTATTTGAAAGAGAGTATAATAATAATTGATAAGACATTAGAAACAATACACATTTAGAAGACCAGGATGAGAGGTATTCAACCATGGGTTTTGTATTGCACATTGCTGTCCTTGATATAGTTGTTAGATTGCAGATATCAGTACGCAGAGTTAGTCAAAGTGAAAATCTAAATATTAACTATTTTTTAAAAAAACTGATGAAAATTATTATTACAATCATCTGCTCTTACAAATATTATTTGTGTATAGTGAGTTAGTTTCTAGGTTTATAAAGTAGAAAATTTGGAATTTTTTAGGCGTTGGCTAAATTATGCTATTTTTTCTTCCCTTGGAGCTTTAATTGATCTAATAAACTGAGAACTCAGCATGAACTGCCACCCTTATGAAACTATAGATACGCAGTTTACTTTTGAGAAACACATGACAGCAGTCCATTAATTATAGTATTTTAATCCTTCAACTGGAAGACATCTTATTTCATTTTTACTTAGAAATAGCAGAAAATTTTTTCCCAGCTCCCACTCAGATCAGCCTAAGGCAAGAGTGCAGTCACTGGGCAGGGACAACAAGCTGCTAGTAGAAAGTTGCTTCTGGGTCTTGACTCCCTCCCCCTGCATTCTAATGAGGTATGAATGGAACATGAGCTAAAGCTCACCTCTTCCTAGTCACCTGGATGTTATCAGTGAAGGGAGAGAAGACCCACAGCAGTTAGAGGCTGGTGTGAATATGCTGGATAGAATGAGTCCCTCAGGAAAGTCACACTAGGGCAGAGCAGGGGAAGGACAGAGTTCTTCATGGTAGCTACTTTCCAGAGCTCTTAATTTGTACTGCTTAAATGAAAATGCCTGCTAGGGATTCAAAGGCTATAATGCATAACCTTAAAGCTAGACTTGGACATCCCAAACCAATTGATCAGATATGATGGGCAAGGGCAGGGCTTTGGAAAGGGACCCAATGACTTGTCGGGGCAGAGCTGAGTTCAGTGTAGAAGATTCTGAGGGAGGAAAATGGGAGAGAGAAAATGACAACTGAAGTCAAGGAGACTTGATCAATTGAAAGACCATGGGAAACAAATGCAAGGTCTTCAGGCTGGACAGATATTGGAGTTTGTAGATTCAAGTTGGATAATAATTTCACTATGGAGTCATCCACTGCTGGGAAGCCTCCATCTGGCCAGCTGGTTCCACAGTGCATTCCATATGGAATAAATCTTCTTGGCTTGACACTCACTTCCAGATCAAAAGACATTTCTAAATATAGCCTTTCTTTAAAGCTGATGCTTGATGAATAAACACAGTAGGCAAGAAGGCCACAAACCTACTTGATAGCACATTGTCTCAGCACAGAAACCCATTTCCTGCTTCTGTCAAGGCCAAGAGGTACAGGCCATCCTAAGGGAAGGTAAAGTACAGAGCCCATGCCAGTACTTTTTATGGCTGAGATAAGCTCAGACAGTACATATAGTCTGGCCCTATTCCTGTGGCCCAGCAGATGTGTCTGCTCCAGCTGCCGGGAGGAAAAAGGAAGACGGCAGACACAAGAACAATGGTCCAGTTAGGCAGCCAAGAGGAAGGAGTGGACCACAGCCATCCGTGCAAACTTCGACCAACCCTCTTATCTCAAAATCTTGCATCCTCAATATACTCACTTCTGAGATGTCAGTTGCTCGAGAAATGATTTATTAATTTCTGACACAATACCAAAGCACAGAATTCAAAACTAGGGACGAACACGTTAGTGAATATGTTCTTTAGGTCAGCCTTTGTGCTCAGTGCTTTTTGATCATCTGTTTCTCACATCATCTATTCCAATCTCATCTGTTCCACACCATGACCTTATGAAGCAGTTAATATCACCACCCTTCTACCTGATGAAATAACTGAGTGGGTGAGAATGGTCTTGGGTTATAGGATGGCCGAGTTTGTGGAGATCCAAATATTTGTCTTGATGTCATGGAGGGTCTGAGGGCAATAACACATCCTACTAAATAATGACAGAGGCTGAGAAGGAAAGTCAGCCCTAGAGCCTTCTTAAGGGTGGTAAACTGGCTCGATGGGCTCGGACACCTCAGGAAGCTAGACCAAGAGAATGCCCACACTACCAACCTGTTCCACCAGCCCAAGTATTGCCGCCTACATGGGGCATGTTGTCTGGGTCCTCCTTCCCGTGCTTGGGGGAGCTCACGTCTTCATCGCTATCTCTGTTGATTGTTATCTGAAAATGGAGATGGAGACAATATCACTGTCCTGTGACTGACACCAGGAACTGCGAGAGAGAAATGGATTTTTTTCCTGTAAATCCTTATCTCATAACTTCAGGTCATAGGACATGATAAATGCTGTTTCTATCTGACAAAAAATGTTATTAGATTTAATAGCCATTTAGTTGGGGAAGAGATAAATTATGTTTTGAAGGATTTTTTAAAGGAGCTGGGTTGGGTTTCAGCTTCAGAATTTTCTTGTATGGTACATGTTATGACTCTTTATATATACAAGCATGAGCTTAGGAAAAAAAAAAAAAACCCTGGGAAAACAGATTTCACCAGTCAGACATTTTCTCAGTGGTTTTTTTTTTTTTTTTTTTTTAAATCACCCTTAGCTGATCCAGTAGAATCAGTAAATATACACTCACTCATTTTATTTTCAAAGAAATCCTATTACTTTAAGAAATGACATTTTATATAAAATATATAGAAAACAAAAATAGAATACACAGGCATATGTAGTTTAGTGACAGATTTACATTCTATATGCACATAGTAAAAAATGCTCATTTATTTTTTAGACCAACTCCAATATTATTGTGATATTCCATAGAGCTCCTAAAGTATCTTTATTTTAAAATTGGACTTACGCAAATCAAATGGCATACATGGTAGTTTAGCCCTCCCCATTAGAACCTGTCCCTGTTTCCAAAGTTCTTTCATTCATTTTTCAAACAACACAGCCAAATACACACACACACACACACACACACACACACACACACACACACACACGCATGCACCAAGGTGAGGAATCACGTGTAGAACAGTTCCATTAAAATTGTCGACTGCTCACCACTTTTGGAATGTCCATTGCCATTCCTCCCAGCACCGACACACTGTGACTCAGTGACTCCAAATCTGGTAAATAGGGTAAGTGGAGTTTTACTTAAAACTAGGTTTTAAGACTAGTTTAGACTAGTTTTCTTATAAGGATTTTGACTTTTCTATAAGCCAGTTCTAAAAGAAAAATTCCAAAAAATGGTCTGAACTGTGACAGTTTTTTTGAAGAACTATTCTGAGTACCAACTTTCACTTGGTGGTGTATCTGTATGTATACTGATATATTCCTTAAAAATAAGTAAAAGAAATTTGGGAAGAGTGTGAGAAAACAAATTCCTATGTGTCTAGTAACTTAACTTCAATTATCTTCTTTAGATGTTTCACATAGTCCAGTTAGTCTGCTATAGAAGAAGAACATTTCAAGAAGAACTACACTAGAATTATATCATAAGACTACCAATAGCCTCCTTAGTTATGTCCAAAATCATCTCTGACAGCCATCAGGGAGACAAAAAACAGGATATAAATTTCTGGACAGAAAGAGCTGTTGTTTGCAACTTCTATGTCTAATCAGGCTATCTGCTGGCAAACGGAGCTGCCCACAACTGCCTCATCCCAACCCCAAACAGGAGCCTCAGATATTTCAAAATTAGCAAATTCTCAAAGCAAAACAAGTCAGCCAAAATGTTGTTTTCAAGAAACATATGCTGTAAAATTCCAGGGTTATTTAATTAAACACAAGGGATCTAAAGGGTTTAGTTAGCTAATTTTGCCATTTTATATATGTTACTGTTCTCACTAAAGGAAATATGTTTCTATAAATGCACAAGTGTATTAAATCTCCTAAGGGAGTCTTAAAACCATTTTAGGGCATCTCTTCCAAGAACTAACAATGATTCATAAGAAGAAGTTGGGCATGGTGGTGCACACCTGTAATTCTAGCACTTGAGAGGTTGAGGCAGGAGGATGACCATGAGTGTTAGAACAGCCTGGGATACATAGTGAGTTTAAGATCAGTCCGAATTACATAGCAAGATCTTGTCTTAAACCAAAAGAGAATAAATGAATCATAAAAACTACAAGACAAGAAGCTTTGTACAGTTCAAGCTTGAATGAAAGCTGGAATGGACACCAGAAAAGGCTTGCCACTTGAAGAAGTTTGTTTCCAGGAGAGAGAGATGCATGTAAAGCAGCCACTGGTCATGCAGAAAGCTGAAAAGCTGCTGTCTGCTTTAAAGCATGAGTTGAGAAGCTGTGGGAATGTATTTCCTTTGGGGGCTGGTTTCATTCAGGAAAAGCTCAACAACAACAAAATCATTTTAATGACTGCAATACACATTACTGGATTCACTTAAAAATATGAAAACTTTTTTCAGATCATAAAATAACATCGCCCTAAAAAAAAATAATAAAAAAAAATAGCATCACCCTTTACCACTTTTGACTGAGCCTGATACACACTTTACAGCCCTTGACATGTCTCTCACGGTAGATACATCGACTTCCTTTTCGGTAAGTGTGCCATAATCCTGAGAATCATTATTCTCTTACGCACTAAAGTGGAAAAAACACGGACCTTGTAAATTGCAATTCATAAAAATGTTCCACAGTAAAGCAACCCGAAGCCAGCACAGGGAAAGGACATGACTCACAGAAGCCCTATAATTCTGGGCAAAACATATATATTTTAAGCTCCTGCTTGAGCTCATCATTTTAAAAAATCAGTAAAATGATATAAATAGTTAGAATGTAATTCTGGGAGAAAAGTTAGCTCTGGGAGGTATGACTTCCATTTTCCAGCTTGAGTCTAGGCGTGGCTCAGTAAACATTTCTAGCAGCCTCCCCAGTATCCTTTCCCTCTTTTAAACAGAAATCGGATGGACCATGATTGGGTGGAATTAAGCACAGAAATCCTATTTCTCCTTTGCCAGTGATTTAGGAAATGCATGTGACCTGAGATGCCAGAGAAATCTGCCAAGGTTTTGTGGATAGATCCCTCACTGTGCCCTAGAGTCTATGGGACAGCCCTTCTGAGCCTTGGCCTATATAAAGCTGATTGAATGGCTATCCAAAATAATACTACAGGGTTCCAAAACCCATCACAAGAAGCTTGACTTTCCTTGCTTTCTTTACTTAGCATGCCTTATTCTCTTTCTTTTTTAAATTAAAAAAATGAAGTTTTTGAAATTTGGAATATAGAATGTAGGATGGTGGAGTCATAAGGTTGTTTCATAGGTTAAGAAGCCACATATACAAACAAATTTTTAAAGGAAACCAAATGTTATCATTGTGTGTAGGTGAGTGTCATGAACAAATGTTATCAGCCCATACATTATTGGCATGGCTATAGAAATGCCCCCTCTCGCTGCCAGACCACGAGTGTATACAGTGGCCTAAACAGTCACGTGAAACAAATGCTAATGCGATGTCAAGACAGCAAGGGCACTGCAGGCTGTCAGGGCTTTATGATCCTTCCTTTTCTACTTTTGCCTCTTACTTTAAGAGCCTTTAATGGTTGATATTCAAAATTAGAGGAAATTAATATGCAGTCAGTAGAACTCCATAGGCAAGGAAACAATTAGCCACGCAGATGCTTTGGTCTTGCTATACATAAGGTGGCCCTGGCAGCAGACATTTAATGCTATGCGTTGGTATTATTATTATTACCACCATTATTACTGTTAAAGCTAAATGGGCTTTCATGGCATTTCCTGGACAGATGACTTCGGTCTTATTTTTAAGTTTTGTGCTTTCTCCAAAACAGAAAACCAAGTTGGCTGGGTTTTTTTGTTTTGTTTTGTCTTTTTGAGACAGGGCTTCATTACGTAGTTCAAGCCAGCCTTGAACTCACTTTGTAGCCAAGGCTGGGCTTGAACTCATGATCCTCCTGCCTTAGCTACACCAAGGCTGAGATTAAAGGCATGTCTGACTTGTCGGTTTTTAAAGCAAATATTTTCTCTGTGTCAACAGACTCCTCTGAGGAGTTAAGGGTAGCTAGGAAAAGTAAGGGTGGGTCAAAAAGCCATTTGTTCTCTGTCCTGAGAAGAAGCAGTAAAATTCCCTGGGTTTTTATATGACCTAGGTTCTAAAAATTCTTGGAAGCACCCAACACAACTATGTGTAAAAGCATTCAATATAGGGAATTCTTTTCTGAAAACAGGGATGCTGACAACCAGTGTGGGACAGGTCAATACTCCATGGTCCCTGTTGGGGAATACTTCCAGGATCAACCCTGGTACCTGGCTTCCCATCCTCATTTCTAATAAAGTCACACTCTGTTGCTAGTCATTGTTTCTTCCAGCTGTGCTTCCCATTATTCTTGATTCACTGTCTCTGATGACAAAAATGTTTATGAAACTTTTATCTACTGATGTTTACCTGAGTTTCCCTAACCACTTCCTCAACATACCTGGAGTCCTCGTGAAATGTGTGGTAAGTCCGGAGACAACAATCTTTCATTGTTTCCCACAGCTCTAAACAGTCACAACATACCTTCTGACAGTCACGGTGGGTCAGAGTTAGCAACCAGAATACAAAATAATGGCATAAGGAAAGTCAACAGAAGAAGCAGCAATCTGCTCTGCACATGCCAGGCTGAGAAGAACATGGCTCTGCTCAGTAGCTGAAAGTATGACAAAAATTAATATACAGGGGAGGGTAAGAGAAAAGGAAGAGGATTTATGAAAGAAAAATTCTGTACTATGTACATGTAATTATTCCCTAAGACAACTGTGAACTACATTAGCTGTAACCATTTATAAATAAAATAAAAAGTTGAAAAAATATGATAATACACTACTTAAAGAAATTAATACATAGTCAGAGAGGGAGTGGGTCCTTGAGGAAGTCAGCACAAAAAGTAAAGACATCAGAATTCTGGCTGGAGGTGCATCTGAGCATCTAAAGAAGACTGGGCCTCATGAGGAAGAAGATGCAATGGCCAGGCTTGCTTACCTCCCTAAGGATAAACAGCAACTTGAGATTATACTGCAATGAGCCACCTGGGCCAGGAAGTTCAGACAGGCATCAGTCACCAGGTATGTGACCAGAGCATCTGGACTCATCCATTCCCCAAAATGCCTTTGTCTTTTCCCTAAAGAAATGACTCATACCCCACTGGATTAATATTAGATAAGTGACTAACAATCTTATAGATTGATTATAATTT